ATTGTGTGTTCAGTGTTCAGACAACCATTCGGGTGGTTGTCAAAGTTATGGTCCCTTTTTGGGTCCTGATTATAATACGGCACCTCATATTTAGGGTACCCAAAAAGGAGCCATAATTTTGACAACTACCTATTTGTTGGAGAAGCGCGGGTTCGCGTGAGCTCCTCACCCGCAGGCAGAGACAACGAGATCTTCGCTCCCGAAGCTCTGAAAGCTGTGCCTCGCAATTCCCCTTCCTTTTGCTGTAACTACGAGGAAAGCTATATGGGTAGTTGTTAAAATTAAGGTCCGTTTTTGGGTACGCCAAATAATAGGTGCCGTATTAAAACAACGACCCAAAAGGGTACCATAATTGAAACGCTGCGCGTCGTCCGCCTCGGCCCGGCTGTACGCGCATGCGGCGAGTGGCTACTATCTGCAGCAAGCTCTTGTAGGAAAAAAGTAACAGTTGGAATCGCACTTATAGTAAAAGTAATGTTCATAGCAACACGAAGCAGGATGATTGTGAGTAGTATTAGTAGTGGTAGTATCAGTACGAATTTTGGTGTCGTCATTCCGAAACACTGGATACCAAGCCTCTCGCAAGCGGCGGGATGCCTTAAGTATGGGCCGTTGAGGCTGTGGATTTCGTGGGCGTCTTGGATTAGGGTAGCATCACAGCCTTTTCAACCACGTTACTCCACGAAAGGGCGTCTAAAACAAGCCTGAGACGCACATAAAGATGCTACATTGCAGTCCCGTGTCGTCGAAAACTCCGAAAGCTCGCACCTGTCAGCGAGCGGAGGGAAAGGGGAGTGGGGGGGGCGGGAGGGGGGGGGGGGGGGGGGGGGGGGGGGGGGGGGGGGGGGGGGGGAGGGATTAAGAGGTGGGGAATAGGAGAATCCGAATAGGAACCTCTGACCGCTTCGGCCGGGGCCGAGGCGAATTTTGACAAACATCCATATTAGAGTCATTAGAGCAGCTGTATGGGGGTACCAGGTTGAGGGTCCCAACCTTTGCGCGAGATACGCTGCAGCATTCCTAACCTGAGGACCGTTTAATTGGGGACTGCTGGGTCCTTCTTTTGTCGCACTCAGGTGGGAGCATGAGAGTGGTCAGCTGCGCGATTCCTGGGGGGAATGGGACAGAGAGAGATGGAGAGAGAGAGAGAGAGAGAGAGAGAGAGAGAATATGTAGACGCACATATATAGTATGTACATATGTATATGTATGCACACATTGGTTTATTGCATTTGTTCATCCGAACAAGAACAAAGAGACAGTAAAGAAGGCGAGGCGCTTGGCCGATCGTTGGCTGTCGTAGCGGTTTGTGACTAGCCTCGTTTAGGAGTTAGGTTTACGCTTTAGATCTCTTGGACCCGTAGGTCCAGAGTCGAATCGTAGAACTTAGGCTAGGGGACCCTTAAACCGGAAACCATTGCGTAATCAGAGGTTTGGGTCCAGGTCAAGGAGCTTCGGTTCTTGGCATCGGTTCTCGGGGATATAGCAGATACTAGGTAGCAGGGCACTGGCTTGGCCATCGGCATCGGCAATAGCTATTTCGGCACATAGCATCGGGATCTGAGTGGTTCTCACCTCATCTAGTACGCCCCAAAGCCCTATTGAGTTTTGAGGCACCGATATTTTGCTGATTTTCAGGACTTTAAGAATAGAAGCCTCATAACTTTCCAGACTAGACTCGGGGCTGGGGGTATAGTGTATTATTTTTAAGGACAATAAGATTGAATGCTATACTATATGACCAACTGTTCAGGCTTAGGAAGTCGATTTTGAGCCCCCCAACAAGTTTGTTCACCCCCGCAGGCCCCCGCAAACGCACAAAGCCGACACTGTTGCAGTTGTCTCCTCAGAGGCTTCTTGACAAGAGGCGCTGCAGCGCGCCGCTCCATCGTGTCCGCATCTGAGTTCTCAAGCCCTATAAACGGTTCACACTCAAATGCTGGCTTAATCTCACTAAAGCTTTAAGCCGTCGATAGTCCTCAAAGACTTAATTAATCTCTGGAGCTCAGCACCGTCCGCAATCCTGGAATTTCCGTCGAGCAGGCTGCGAAAATGGCGATTCACCTGGGGCCCCTCGGCTTGGCACGGCTGAGTGGGTTTTGGTTCTGGGGTTTAACTGTTAGCACCAGCTGGGCGTAAATACTTAGGGCATGCCTAACTAATGATTCCGGCTTACGTCTTGCATGAGGGGGAAAGCTTGCTGGTTTCCTTGCCTGGGCCTGAATTGAGGTATTCAACCGCGCTGGTGATTGGGGTTCATGTGCGAGCTGTTCGAGACCAGAGTGCTGTCTTTGGTCTCTAGCGAACACAGCAAGCTCCTCTTAGAACGGGTACAAATCGCCATCGTCATTTGCCTCCTATGCCCTCGTATTGAATGAGGGTAGGCCACAGGAGGCATCTTCGTTGGATTTCAGTTTGATTCAAGGATGCATGGGTCGAGTAGGATGTCATTGTAACAATTTCACTCGTTCTCATTCACCGGCCCTTCTGCAAGTTCGTTCAAGGTGTCTGCCTGCAGCATATATGAGCCCTAACCTGTGGCATTGCGGTTTTGCTATTGTCAGTCAGGCAGCTGTCTCCCTACTTGCCGGGCGACGGGGGCGACAAGGCACCATCTGTTTCCCATTGAACAATTTCAGGAGACGAAAGTGAGTCCAGTGTGTATCGGTATACCCATGACATGCCCTGGACCTCACACACCGGCATATCTGAAGCACTTTGGGCCGCCAATAAAGGGATACCAAACTCCAACCCACTGCGAATGCCGAAGCCACGAGCACAAGCCGCATGATGGACTTCCTACTTGTCAGGTTTATGTAACGAGTGCGCTCTTGGAAAGTTATAGGGGGCCCATACCGAGCCCCATACCCGAAGTCCGGAAGCGCTGCTTGAAACTCGGACAAGTTCAGTGTTTGGGGTTTAGGGTTTGAGATTCTGATTGGGGGCTTAAGAATTTAGGGCCTAACTCTTGGCAGTCCGTGCCGTTACAGCGGCTTACTTTGGCCATGTGCACCAACGACACGCGTAATATAGGGGCATCAATAATTACCAAGATTATTCCTGTAAGGATACTACAAAGGAGCCCAAAGCCTGCTCTTATTATCAAGGCCCCTATATTAAAGTACCTTTTAGGAGCCCTTCTTGTATCCCTTAAAGGAACCCGGCCCTATTATCATTATAAAGGCTCCTCTGTTACCATTTCGAGGAGCTTTGGGTTCTGAAATTCTGAATTACCCAACCTCGACGATCGTGCCGGGGGACTTGGACCAGGCTGTAATATAATATAGGGGCCTTAATCAGTTAGAATAGGCTACCCTTTAAAGGGGTTCTTTTGAAGGGGTCTACAAGGGCTACTAGAGGGGCTACGTACTATACAGGTTTAGTATAGGGGCCTTAATAATTGGAATAGGGTTTTAATCCACTATAGATACAAGGAGCCCCCAAACTAGTACTGGTAGTTATTGAGTCCCTATAGTAGGCTCTTTGCAGATTCCCCCCAGTGCTGACCAGCAGCACACGAAAGACTTCAGATTCGAGAGTGTGCGTCACTGTAGAAGTAACCCGAATAGACCCTTGCAGTAACCCGTTTAGATCTCTGAATAGTCCTTGTAGTAACCTTGATAGAGCCTTGCTTGCAGAACCTTGAATCCCGAGCCCATTATCAGGACTTGTTCCAGCTCGCTTGGACCCTCGAAAATCGGCCATTTGGAACGTGGGCCTCTGAGATACTCGCAGTGAAGCAGTCAGGGTGTCTTGTTTTTCGGGATGTTGGGTGCTGTAGGGCTTCAGGATTTTGGCTTTCGGGCAATGCAGCTTGGTTCCTCTCCTCGTTTCTACGTTGCGATGTTTCCCGAGAAAATACACAGGGAGAAGAATGTAAGCGGATCTTAATTAACTGCCCACGCTTGGCACAGTGCAGGAGCCAGTCTTGGCAGCAGCATCCTGAATTGGTCGAAGTGCAATGTTTCAGCCGCAGCCACATGACATGTATTTTCTCATCCAGCTCATGTTAGGACACCTCCATTATCATGTGATGCTCCCCTGTTATAGTTCTATGTCTAGACCCCATGCTTGCGGTTTTTTCAGCTTCGCATGGCACGGTGACTGGTAGCTGAACCTCAGGTGTCCCAAAGGACCTGCTGCTGCGGGTGGCCGAGACGCTCGCCTTCGTTCGAGAGGCCGCGGAGCAAAACGGTCCCCCGTAGTAGATCCCAACCTGGACTTTCAACTGTCATGCCTGCGCTGGGTGACCATAAGTACATTATGTGTGCGGGTGTGTATATATAACATACATGTATATGTATATGCAAGCATGTATGTGTGTATGTACGTGTGTGTATGTATGTATGTATATACACATATATTCATACACATACCCATTTAGATTTCCAAGTTCGCAAGCAATGAAGGGCACTATCAAGGAAGCAACAAATTACTGTTATTGGGTTTTTCTACCTACTATTCAGGACGTGATTGTGCAGCTTGCTGTCCGACATAGCAACTGGTTAAAATCACACGCGCCTGTGGCCCCAATGTAAGATACAGTATAAAGCCTTAGAGCTAGACCGGAGGACATGTGCCTTTAACTGCACTGCAGCAAAAACATGCAAAGTGAGTTAACATTAAAGTCATTAGTCACATCC